AAAATCATGCAATGCATCATGCATATTAAATTATTAATTAATAATTATTATAGTTTTTATAAAATTTAATATATATATATATATAATTATAATAGATAGACTTAATATTTTGGGGGTATAATTATTATAGTATATATAATTATTATAAATTTTATAGTTAATTTAATATATATATTTATTATAATTTTAGGGGTATAAAATTGTAAAATTAATGTATATAATTATTACAGTATTGTTTTAGGGATATAAAATTATAAAAATAATATTATGCTTATCGTGTATCGTGTTACCCACGTGTATACCCGAACCAACCCGTTATCTTAACAGGTGCTTATCGGGTTACCCGATAACGACCCGATTCGTTATCGTGTCGACCCAAACACCTGTTAATTTCGTGTCGTGTCGTGTCGGGTTATCGGGTTGTGTCAGAAATTGCCAGGCCTATTACTAATGCTTGCAATTTTATATCAACTTAATCGATTGCGCTACTGACAGAGAAAACACGGGGTAGGGTTAAGAACATCATGCCTGTGAAAATATATATATGGGTAGATTTCTTATTCTTTCATGGACTAGTGACAAGTTATCAACCTAAGTTTTTTTCGCTAAAATAAAAAGTTCTAAAGAAACCATTTTTGCAAACCTGCGGCCAAATTATTGAAAGTATAGTTTTTAACAGCTGCTTGAGGTATATCTAAAGCACATGAACGAGAAGTCCACTATCTTTTAGTGAAGTGAAGCAAGCTATGTATAATGTACAATGTTAATCCAAAGTGCGACCCCGACAGTTGTTTAATCCCTCGCTTTTAAACTAAAATATTAAGGGTTGAGAGACAATTAGGAGGGAGATGCTCAAGATTATATATTATTCAGAAGAAAAAAAATTATTATTTTTTCCGATCTGGGACTGGTCACGTTTGCTCATCTTTTGTTTCTCTCCTGCATTTCCTCTCTAATCTTAACACACACAAAAACCCAGTTAGATCTAGGTCCAAAAACCTAAGCTGTTTTTTAGATTTAATCCAACTGTAACATACCTATATCATAACCAAACTACAAAAAAATTCAAATTAAAGAAATATGATTTAAGATAGAAATGAATAGTTCACTTTTTTTAAAAAAAAAAAAAAAAAAAAAAAGGTCATGAAATTGAATTAAAAAAAAATTAAATACGAAATGATTATCAAATACACTCTTAAACTTTTCTCTCAAATTTTTTTAGTGGTTACCTATTTTAACATAAGGACAAACATTTGTTCCCCTCCAATGTCCCTCCTCTTTTGTAAACATTATTGTTCTTTTCTCCTTTTGAAACTTGGACGAGTGTAAGACATTGGCTAACCATGGCTGACAAGCTAGACTGGTTAAGGTCGAACTGACCAAACCAGCCACAGTTGTGGGTCGATCGGTTAGGCCATTCATAGTCGGGACCCTTTTTTCTAATATTTAAAAATAAAGTGAAAATTTTCATAATATTTAGAATGACTATAAAGAGTATTCGTAGGGTAGAAAGATCACTCCTATTCAACGGTATCTTGGCGTGTGTAAGTTTGTAATGTCATATTCCAGCGAAGATCACAAAATTTTGCTTTTATGGCTGCGAATGAATTAGTAGAACTCCTTCTAAAGCAAGAGCATTTTGTTGGATAAGCAAGTAGAATTAAATTGGAATATGAAGGGAAAGACAACAAAAAAATAATAATGTTCACCTTTAAAGTTATTTGGGTCCCTTTTCCCTTTGACAGTTTTTAACAAATTTCACTGTGAGGATAAAGGCAAAGGTTAGGGCATATATGCCATGTGAGACATTTGAATAGTGAAATTATGGGCCACTAGTTGAAACTTTTGGTCATTTGGCTTACAAGATTCATAAAAATGTGTCCACCGTAATTAAATATGGCATTGCCTACTAAGAAAGTGACAACCATGTTCAACTATTACCACATTTCAAAAAATCTTCACCTAGCGCCGCCTAGACTCTACCTTGATTGATTCTTAGGAATTTGAATTAAGAAATAACGCTTAGACCTGCTTAGGCGGCCACTTAGAACCGCCTAGGCAACCACCTAAGTCGCAGCTCTCATTTCGATAGAAAATAAATAACTTTCACTTTTCCTTTTATTTTTTTTAAATAAATTGTAAGAGACTTGTTGAATACTTAGATGAACACTCATTATATGTTTGTTCCCCATGTTTTCAATATGTTCTAAGACTTTATAATGTATATATCATTCTATTTTGCAACTTTTGTATCCCAATACAATTATGTATTTTTTTAAGTATAAGTAGACATTTATTTATACGTTATATAATAAATTTAATAAAAACTTAAAAAAAAAAAAAAAAAAAAAAAAAGTCTAGGTCCCCTAGGCGCCTGGGCTAGGCTCTTACCCGCCACTCAATTACCGCCTTTTAAAACATTGGTCATTATACAATCTATTGTTTTAATACTCTTTCGCAATTGTATGGTGTTTAATGAAGATGTGCATTTGATATTTCTTTTGAAAACATATTACGAGGAATGCTAACTCACTTGCCTTATCCACTTAATGGATGTTATGTGGACATATTTTACACCTAAATCTATGTAGTTTTTGTTTATCCCTCAATATGGTAATCGAGCAGCACACTCTGTGGCTTCATACATATTTAAACAAGGTGGCTCATTTATGGGGTTGTATTGGCTCCGAATTTCTGTTCAACATTTTGGTGGAGGACGTTAACATTCCGATTAGAATTTTATAAATCTACATTTCTGATTATTAAAAAAAAAAAAAAAAAAAAAAAAAAAAAACTCTAATTTAATAATTAACAATATTTTTTATATCCTTTTTTTTTTTTTTTTTTTTTTGAAGTAGAGATTTTGAGAGTATAAACTTGTTATTCTAAAAAAGAAAAGGATGAAGGGATGGTCATACTTACAAAATTCAAGATTTTGAAAATAAGTGGATATGTTGGTCGAGTTCGATAGAAGAATGAGTTTCCTGTGTATGTCTTAAGTTTGAATAAAATGTTTCTTGTTGAATAATATAATGTTTGAAGGAAAAAAAATAAATAAACAAAAATAAAAATGAGATTCCAAAAAAAAATGAAGCTTGTACAAAAAAATAATATCAAGAATTAAAGGATTAAATATCTAAAACCTCATAATTTTTTAGTGTTATTCCAAATTGGTCTCAATATTTTTAAACATTCCAAATAAGTACCCAACTTATTAAAAATATCACATCTGTTATCCCTCATATAATTTTTCCGTCAAATGTACATGTGGCAACAATGAGTCCCACTTTTTAGCTTACTTGGACACTAAACTAATAATAAATATTAATAGCTTGAAAATGAAAACAACTACGAAGATTAGAAGAAAAAAAAATCAAGCCCCTAACACCTCCAAGCTCAACCAACCACCACCGAAACCCTAACACAACCTTTATATTCAAAACCAACTGGTCAACTGGGTTTTTCATGGTCAACATTAATATTAGTTGCCTTTGAATCTAAAATTCAAACATAGATTATATAATATGGAAACCTATGATCAAAAGGGTATTGAATTGAATTGAAAATGGATCCAAATTGATTTACATTAGGAGGGCAATCTCCTACAAAGAAGGGGTTAAGAATTCATATAGGTTTTCAAGGAGCCTGTTTCTGCTAATGCGATTTCCTCATTTGTCGATTTGCGGCTCGTGAAGCTTGCAATTCTTCTTTGTAGGTGGTGAAGATGGTGGTGGCATGTGGCCATATCACGGAAGTTCATACCATTTCAACAACCTTCATGACCTTCTTCTCGAAGTTGGCGGCTTGGGTTATAGGGTGAAGTTAGTCGTTGTACATTTGTTTTGAGATGATGGCTTGATGGGGTGGTGGTGACCATTAGTGGGTAAAGGCCATGCCTCTATGACCTTCTACTTATTTTTTAGGCAAAGTAAATCCTAGTTAATTTAGCGGAAATTTTAATGGAGGCTTAATAGATGTGATATTTTCAATAAGTTGGGTACTCATTTGGATTGTTTAGAAAGATTGAGACCAATTTGGAATGATATTAGAAGATTGAGAATTTTTAGGTACTTAATCCATAATTAAATTAATTAGATTTGTCAAATTTTAGTGGATAATTTAATAATTTGGTTGACATGTGGAATTAATTTAGGGCATTAGTGGAAAGAGATTAAAAAAGTTTCAAACATAATTAATACATAAATTTAGATGTAAGATAAATCCACATGGCATTGATTGAGTGCGAAAAACAAGTGGGGAAGGCAGCTAGCATTCTCCCTATATTAATTATTGTTGGATGAGTTAAAATTTGGATATCTTTGCCGTAGAAAAAAAGAAAAAATTAAATCATACTCATATGACGATAATGAGCACTATAGTGATTCTCATCATCACTTAAAAGTAGTGAACAAATACACGGCTTATTTTTAGCTACGCCCTCTGGAACTCGATTTTAACTCAAAAGTTGTCACTTTACTCCCTAGAACTCAAAGTTCACTACACTTTGCCCTCTAGAACTCGATTTTGATCCCATTTTGCCCCCTGAAACTTGAAAATTGTCTCTATAAAACTCAAAATTTACTCCACATTACCTTATATCTGTTAATCTCTTATGTGGGTTCGATTTGGGTGCACTAGGCTAATCAATGCTTTTTTATTTTTTTCATCAATTTTTTTTTAATTTAATATTTTCTAATTGTTGAATATTAACGCATAAACGAGATTTATAATCAAATTTATTGCACTTGTGACATATATGTTTTAGAAGATAATCTATAAGTTTCAAGAAGAAGAGTCCACAAGTTCGAGTGAAAGAAATTTTGAATTTTAGAAAGTAAAATGGTGAGTTTTCTTACAAGGGACAAAATAAGATAAAAATTAAGTTCCAAAAGCGCAGCTAAAAGTAACCCAATATACACCCACTTTGTTTTGATGATAAGAATTACAAGGAAGATATGCATGCAAGTGAAATTGAAACAACCATAACATTGACAGTGACATAAAAAATTAGATTATATTATGCATTACCACGCATATACAGAGGAGTTATCAATGATTCGAACCTAAATATTCTACCACCTACCAAAACCCAACTGCAACGTTAAGCTTACCAAAAGGTGTTTTATTTCACTAAATAGAAAAAAGAAGAGCAAAAGAAACTCTTTGATTCTTCTTTTGCTTTAATACAAAAAGACTTTTTGGTCACGTTGTGGTCTAAACGTAAATATTCTAGAAAAGACCCCCCCAACCACCCTCCCCAAAACCACCTTTTGTTGTTTGCTCAACTTATCAAAACTCAAAATCCATAGTGCTGAAACTGAGCAGCTCCAAAATTGCTCATAAACTGTCCTCCTCCTCCTCCTCTTACTGTTGCATTCATCTCTTCCTTTTCTACATTGAACCCTTCAACCTGCACAAAATTAACCTCATTAGCTCTACGTTATTGCAATAACAGAAATTGTATAATTAAACAAACAAAAAAGTAACGAAATTGTATATACAGAGTAATATTTTCTTATTATACTTATAGTTATCAAACTGTGAACAATAAACGTAAATCACACATTCATGCAAGAGTAACATGACCATTGTGTCCAGATTCATAGTCTTGCAAATTATATTTTAAGGTAATTGATCAATATTATGTTACTACGTAAGTTTGTGATTAATTACCTTAATAATTTATATGGTCAAATTTTTAACCCGTTGTCATAATATCGCTTAACAAGTATACACAAGATAATATTATATTGCTAGACTTGCGTTGTCAGATAAATTGCTAAAAACTATAAATTTGAACTAAATGCGTCAGAATTCGCCGTCTCACAGCATAGATAGTACCATGCCGTTGTCTAATGGCTAAAGGGAAAAAAAGATTTGGCTGTTCAAACTTGTTGGTACAAGTTTAACAGAGGAAATTTAACAAATACTGAAATGTGAATAGAAAATATTTTTACCCGGAGCTCATCTACGTCTTCTTCTCTGGTACTTGAACATGCAGCTTTGAGAATCTCACCGGTCTCGTCGTTGCGTGCAAATCTGCCACGTATGCGGGGTCGTTTGTCTGCTAGTGTTTTTCGACATGCATACTTTTCATATAGATAGAGAAGAGTAACAAACAGCCCGCGTTAAGATTTAAACACAATAATAATCTAATTTAACACCCAAAAATTAGTGGATTTATGTAATGATATTATGTTTAATTACCTTAATTGTTTTGTTGAAGTTTCTCTGTGACCTTTTGGCTCTGTACTTTGAGATTCTCTCTTTCCTCTCTTCTGCACTGTACCTCCCCGTTTTGAAGTTTGCAGCTGCTTCTTCCATCACTGAGCTCTCTCTGGGAGCACGATTTGTTCGCAAATTCTACCAAAAAAATTGGAGAAAACAAAAAAAATAAGACATGGGTTTTGATTTTAATTAAACATGGATTAAATCAAAACAAACGCAGAGCAAATTAACTAAAATTCTGGTGAGTAATCTGACTTGCAAATCACCAGTGCTGGATACCCTTCTCATTTGACCAGGCAAAAAGCTGCTTTCCTGAGAGCTCAAGCTAAAAGCTTGGTTCTGAAAACTTGGGGACTCCATGAGAGAATCAAAGCTCGGCTGGAAGTAAAAACCAGGCTTGTTATTATTTCCATCAAAGCAGTTGCTGCTGTAGCTCCTCTGAATAAACTTTGCGACATTCTCCGCCCCGCCATAGCTAGGAGGCTCAAGAGCTTGATGAAATTCTTCAGTTTTAACCTCCTGAGCATCAAAAAGAGATAAATTCGGCCACCCAATTGGCAAATTTGGACAATTTTGTTCGGTTTGGTGAAACTGGGTTTGCTGGTAAAGGCTTAGAGTTTCGAGCTGGTAACTTGGGGGAGAAGAAGAGAGGAGAGATGGAGAGTTATGGTCAGTTGCGTTTTGATGGTTTTGCTGGTCGGAGATTGCTTGGAGTTGGAGGAGGTCAATGTCCGAGAAGGGAGACAATGGCTCGGAGAAGAACTGCAGGTCCGCCATTTCTGAGGTGGTGAAGTGGTGGTAGAAGGAGTCGTTGACGACGTAGAGATCGGAGGAGGACATTATTGGAGACCCTAAAAGAAAATGCAAAAGTTGAAAACTGACCGGGAAAGTTGGGAAGTAGGAAGAAGCAAAAGCAGTTACGTTTTGCTTTGCTTTTTGCGTAATTTGGTCGTGAAACGGCCAATATGTACTGACAAATTTGGGATGGTTTTATTAAAGGCCTTTTGGGAGTTACTGAGCAAAGAAACAAGCAAAAGCCATTTCTCGTCTCTCTCACACCTCTCTCTCTCTCTCTCTCTGTCTAAAACTTTTGAAAGATGATTTCAAACATCACAGGAAGAGACCAGTCCACTTCTCTGCTATGCTATAAATAGGACGGGATTTTGCACGTTTGCCCCCACTGTTTGTTAGAATTAAAAGGGTTCTCCATAAAAAAAAAAAATCATTTAGTTAAGAATCGCAACACTTCCCCTCTTTGTTTGTCGACCAAACTTTTAGATTAAAATATTAAGAATCACATCAATTTCCCAAGCTACAGAAAGGAAGAGGATCCTCCCCTAAGCATAGCATGAGGATCCTCCTGATCACGAAATTCAGACCGTTAAATTTTAATTCAACGGTTCTAAACAGGGGATCCCCTAAAAAATTATAATAATTGCAACTGTTGGATTAAAATTGAACGGCTCTGATTTCGTGGTCAGGAGGATTCCTATCCTATGCTCAGGAGATGATCCTCTTCCCTACAGAAAAGCCTTATTTTTCTTTTCTCTTTTGGCTTCTTTTGAACCAAAAGTTCCATCACCACCAACATAAGGGGTGGTTGGGTATAGAATTTCAAATTGAAAATGGGATCTTGAATCCCAAATTGAAAATTTTCAGAACGGAAATTTGAAGATCAATCCCAAACTAAAATTTTGGTATTCTCAATTTTCGGTATTTCAGGATAGTTTGATATTTCCAAATTTCATACATATTGAAATAGCAATTATTCATACCAAGTTAAATTAACATACAACCAAAGTAAAATAAGTAACAAACCCAAAAGTAAAAAAATAAGTTACAAACCTAATATGTTCGAAAACTAACAATACAATTTTTTGATTTCGTGTTGAAATAGACACATTTGTGGGATGTTCGTACCAGCAAATGTGGCGATAAAAGCTATGGTTACTATCTTAGACCACACCAATTATATTGCTACTAGTAGTTAGCAACAGTTCAAATGTATAATAATATATATAAATATATAATAATATATATTATTTATTTTCAGTTCGGTATGGGATTATTGAAAGATTTGAGTACACAATACCGAAATTTCGGGATCGGTTGTGAATTTCAACCCGAAAATTTCGGAAATTTTGATGTGGGATCAGAATTTTTCTGATTTGGTTTAGAATTTTCGAAATTTTTTCTAGCCTTAACTGACATAGGGCTGTTTCTTGTCTGCTATTTGGACAATAGTTTATGAATAAAGTCGGTCCACTTAATAAACATATACCATTCGTGCACATACTTCTTATTATATGATTTTCTGTTCAATCATTTGCAAGAAAATTAACCAGTAAAATTGTTTGGAACATGGAATTTTCTATGTACCAGCAAGGACTCTTTTCTTGGACCACCGATAGGACAGCTAAATGATCATCCTTTCGATCATCACTCATTTTTTTTGTCAACATCTTCTCTTCTACCTCTACAAAGTTGGTTATTCTCTAATATCTTTCAAACAGTAGTGCTACATTGATCGAATTTATTTACGAAGCTTTGTTCATCAAAACACTTTATTCAAAATTTCAAATGTGTACCTCTTTTAGCCAAAGCCTATTTTATTCCATTTGAGGGTGTAATTTAAAATTAATTTCTATTTGATGCATTCGGCTCAGCCGAGCTTGATGGTTGCTGCATATATCTGTATATAGTCTCTTTGTGAATGTGATTGTTGAACCTTAAGGAAGTTGTGTTGGCTTTTTGCAATTGAATTATGAATGAATTATGAATGCAATTTCACTACGGTAATTTTATTTTTATTTTTATATGTATCAAATAATAAGTTAACAGTAACATATATATATGCTGACAGATGATTTGATAAATAAAAAAATGGTAATGCTTAGAAGTTGGATTTTCAAACTGGTGCAGAAACTTTTCAACCTATTTCTTAATCAGCATAGGAATGTAATGATAGGAAATATTTAGTTTAAAATACAAATTCTTGTCATATTGTGATGGTCAAAAAGGGAGTCTTTGGAATCATTATTGTGGTTTATGATTAATTTTAGTAAGAATTCTTTCCTATACTGCTCTCCCCACTCTCTCGTGTACATTTGATCACAGCAACAAAAGGATATGGAAGAATGATATATAATTAACTAGCTTAGCCTAGGTAGCTAATTGCACAAATGATAGACTTCTTGAGAAGGAAAAAGCACCCAAATGGAGTGCTGTGGCTTATTATTTGAGAAGAGATTATGTTTTTGTATATCTCATTTTGCGACTACTCTTATTAGATGGTCCATCCTTTCGTTTTGAGTTTTCATTCACATTTTTGGTTATATGTTATCATTATGAACTTGAAAGTTAGGGTTGTCAGGTGCTTTTATTGGTAATAAAATGTTCATCCTTTTTTTGTAAGGAAACATTTTGGGAAATTTTATTTGAACCCATCTAATATCTTTTTACACCCAACTTACTATCTTCACCCATATTGTTTTTTATTAAAGAATTAATATCTCTTTAAACCCAAATTTATTATCTAAACTACCCTCTCAAAGCCAATTCAAAATGTAAAATTATCTTTACACTCATTCCTTTTATAAAATAACATCTCTAATTGAATTTTTTTTATCTTTTCAAAGAGGCGTCATTTGCCCCTCTATAATTGCATATGCCGTATAGGACTATCTGGCATTTCTATGGCTGCTTTCTTTTCTACCACAACCCATCCATGGACTTGGGATCCAAGAGATCATTCCATAGACTTGAATTTTCCAAGAGAATGTTATGCAAGCTCCAGTTCAGTCCTTTTTAAATCGAGCATTTTCATGTACTTTTTAAGAAACTTTGAAGTGACATAGGGATGGGTGTTTTGCTGTTATGTTAATAAACAAATAAACAAATTGGAGCTATTTCGAATAAAAAAGGTGCAGGACATGTCACTCGCTAGTTTGTGGTTAAGGTTGAGCAATCTTTATTTGCACCAAGAATCTAGTTTTATGTCTTTGTAGTACAAATCAAAAGTCCTTGCACTAATGTTTTGGGGACCATACAGATAGCAGAGAAAACAAATATAATATAATATAAAAAGTATGAAATTTAATCCAAAGAAGAAGCAAACAAACAAAATATCCATAAATCGAGTCATACCTTAGTTGGAGGATGAAAAACTTCAAAATCACCATCCATCAATACAAAAGCTTGTTTTTCTCTATCAGAGCTATTAGGGCTTTAGTCAGAATGACAGTAGGATAAACAAAAGGTGATGCTAGAGTTTAATTATAGTATGTAGGTCTATTGATAAATTTGATTTTTATTATTAATTTCATTTGTACTTAATAGTAATTATGCAATAGGATAAAATAGACAATTAACATTTAAAATTTAAGTTGTGTGTAGAAAGAGGTTAGATGGGTTTAAATAAAATTTTCCAAACATTTTTGATGCCCAACTTGATGAGGGTTATAACTTGGGAAAAAAATAATCATTATTATGACATGCAGATATATATATATGTATATTTATTATGTATAATTATATATAAATGTATGTATATATTTCTGTGTGCCGCTTTATGACCAAGTTAAGCATCCTGATTAAGCATCTCTCTATCTGTTGCTAGTTAATTAATTAATTAATTAAGGACGTCAATGCCATGTTGATTCCATATTTTTATATAATATAGTACTACTCCTGAAAATTCCATTTTTATATATAATATAGTACTCCTCCTGAAATCTATCCTCTTCAGTGCTAAATCTTCAAGATATTCATTCCAAATTTTCAATTGAATTTAGTATACACTAGCATGAATGCCCGCGCTTTGCTGCGGGTTTTCAGACGATGAATAATATTCATAGAAAATTGATTGAAAATGCTTCAGTAATACAATTGCATTCATAAATGTAGCAAGTCAGAGAACGCATGTTTAACATGAGTAACGTTTACAAAACCACATATTTACACAATTATCTCCAAATGAAAGAAAAAGCAAGATATGGGTGAATTGATCCATAAAAGAAGTAATTTAATTTACATTGCTTATGTATTAAGTCAATATTGAGAGTCAGTATACAGTCAAAATTACTTGAACGAAAGTTTACGTTGACAAAAGTTGCAAGGACGAAATATAGTGTCTTTGCATTAGAGACTAAAGTACCATGCAGTTTACACATATTTTGTTTGTTCATGCAACATGACAAAATACATGTTTTGTAAGGCTTTGTATCATTCCAACAGTTGCAAAACATAATAAACATCTTTTTATGGTATGTACATTAGCTGACTTTAGCAGTGGAATGCGCAAAAAGTATATGTCCATGGTAGTGGGATGACCAAAAAATATATATCTTTGATCCTTTGCAGTAGTCCATCACGATGTCTTCCATAGTTCATTTCTTTGGCGAATGAACATCTCCAACACTGAGCAGCAAAATAGAACAAAAAATTAAATAATTGTCCAAGTTGGCATAGATTATTGTAAACAATATCTCACTATACCTGTCCTTGATTTTCTTTGTCTGTGATCTACTTCTTAAAGCACTGATCGGACTTTTGTCTGCAGGTTCAACTTTTGGGACAACCAAGTTAGAGAATTCCGCTAAGATTCTAGTTGAATTAGTAGATAGTGGTTGGCTCCCCTCATCATGTTTGCTGTGAAAACATGTCAAATTTAAAAAAGATGGAAATGAGCATTATAAAGTGCATGCATGATGTTTTTGTTTAATGAAATACCAACATTACTTGAAAAGGAAAAATTAACCTGTGAGCTTTTGAAGGTTCATTTTCAACAAATAGTGTTCTTTTTACACCCTTGTGTTGTTGCAACTGATTGGATTCGTTGAGTCTGGGATTCAAGGGTAGTAAAAGGGAGAGGGGTTGTTGCATCAATAACTTGTTTTCCAATGTTCCTAGCAGGTGTACGCGGTACAATTGAACTAAGTTTTGGTTCAACTGATGTTTGTTCCTCAATTATTCCATGAACAACAAAGTCGGTGTTGCCAAACTCATTGTTTTGATTATCAAAACGGAGCAGGAATGTTTTTGTGCTGCCAACCAATTTTTGGAGGTGCGGTGGCAACACAGAAGAGTCATCATAGCCTTCTTCTATGATCAAAGAGTGGCTAGAAATACCCAAAGTTTTTCAGCAGTCCTTCCAATCATTAAAACGTTGAATTGATTTGTGGCATCATCCACAATAAAATTCATCTTAAACCTAAATAAGAGATGAAGATGTCCTGAGATGTGTTTAGTAGTTTAAAAAAATTGCAATAAAAATGATATTTATTGCAAAGAGATGTAAACAACGTAGAAAGAAGAAATTAGGAAATTACCATGGTTCAAGCATTTTTTTGAGCAGCTCATGCTTAAAGCATTGAAAGGTTCTATATGTATTTTTCACACTTTTGTGGCAATACGGGCACGACTTGTACCACCATCCATTGGTCAGATCGTAATCGACAATTGTTGCTTGACACATGAAACTTGTATTCTGATATGATATAAAATTTTCAAATACAAATGACATTTTGAGAACAAAATCACAAACATGACATTTGCACCCTATAAAATGCATTTGCACGCAAAATATAAAGTAGAATACAGATTTTGGACATGAAATGACATTTGGAAAATGTATATTGAATAACGAAATATAAATTGTTTAATTTTTTGTGTTGAAGCTTATAAATGAAGAAACAAACAAACAACATGACACTTTGTATACACAACACAGTATAGACTAAGAAACAATGTGATTTCCAAATTACAACAACCAATCAATTGCAAAGTAGTTGCAAAATACAATTGACAAAATATGAGATAATTTAGTAATGGTGGATTGACCTTGTTTAATGTCGGATCAAGAAGAAGCAATTCTTCAATTGTCTTCTGTTTTGAATCAACCATAGTAGTACTTTTCCCATACATTTCAGCAGAAGTTGGTAGAATTTCAATGGGTGTTTTGAGGTATTCAAACCTGAGTTTCACATTTTTAGGTCCAAGAATATAGACTATAAAAATAAAAACGAAAATAAATATTAAATAAGATTTGTGCACTCACTTTTGTTTATATTCTGAAAGTAGTGGGATATCAGAATTGAAAATACAAACCATTGAGCCTGTGGTTCCCAGAACAGATTTTCCTATAAATATAAAGAAAACAATTATAAATACAAAAGAAAAGTGATAACATTTAGATTTTGTTAAGATATAACCTTTATATTTCTTCACTTTGAGTGAAGTCAAAACAATGAAGACAGGAGATGAAAGCGATTTTAATGCATCTTCTTGAAAGCTTGTTGCAGTTTCTGCCCACAGGGTAACTGTAACTTGTTCACCTCCACAATTGCAAAACTGGAGTCAAAACTATTTATGTAATTTTTATATGGCTATATATGTATAAACATGTAATCATAGTTTAAGAGAAGTATGGTTTACCTAGTATTTTGAAGTTGGAGGTCTCGCTTTTTTTCAACTCTAATATTTTGCACAGTGATGTCTTCAATTGGTTGTAAAGCCATCAGACAACCAAAAACATCTACATATGATATAGTTATAAGAACCAGCTTATTAAGTTAAAAACTAAGAATAATGATTTTAGATTAGTGGCAATAGTCAAAATTAGACGATTTACCTGTGAGGTGTACATCTTTATCAACTCTTTGGTCAAGCTTATCAAATTCAATCAAATTAAACCAATGCATTGGTATCACTTGATTTGGTTTCTCAACAGGGACTATGCTAGTGTTTTTGTTTAACTCAAACATAGCATCGTGAGGGACAATTTTGTTTGACGTTCTGTTGCGAATAACACGAAATTTATCTATCTCATACACGAACCCAACTTTTAGATGCTCCAAAAAGAATTGGATGTCCTAGGGTTTCATGGTTGCCTGAATTGCATGTCCCTTCTGGAGGGGAAAAACAAAATTAGATCGATTAATCTTTAAATGAGCAAAAAATGCATTAAATCACATAGCAAATAATGTATAAAGTATCTTTTGTATGGCTATAGCATAGAGCAACATATGCATAAAAGCAAATCATACAAAGTAACAAAGTTACTATTTTATAGATTTGAAAATTTAAAGATTGACATTTAGACAAAAATATGCATAAAATGATGTAGATTTCATATATTTTCTCATATGCATTAAAGACTGAAATTGTAATACAAAACCAGATGGAATGTGAATAAATGAGAAGGAAAAATTGAATTAATACTAATTGTACGATAAATGCATTTTGACATATATAAATTTGTTCCTATTTAATAATGAAAAATAAGTGTAAAGATTTAACCTCTTTGTCAACAAAGACACAGTCCAAACTTGCAGGTTAACGATCAGCTCCAATATTTTTTGTCACCCAAATTCTGCATATCCTAACTTGTAGTTTCCTTATTGGGTTGTATGGTAACAAAAGACGAATTGGCATAAGCTCCATCAATCTATACAAAGTAAATTTAAAAGCAAATAAAATCTTCAAAATCATACAACACACAGATGAAACAAAGAATACATTAGAATTCTGAAAAATAGGCAAAAAGAGAAAAAGAAAAATGAATGGACAAACACAAACCAACACACCTTCATGTAAACGATTCAAAACATCTTTATAAACAATGTTCTTTGTGTATCCGTAAGGCATATCACAATCATGAGCAATCACAATTTTAAGACCCTTTTTTGAGGTGACCCTAGATAATGCAACGTAGAGCTATTCATGAGAAAAAAACTGTTTGAGATAGAAATAGCCCAACAATCTTCAAAGATTCCTTGACTCTTATTAATTGTCATTGCATAGCAAATTCTGAAAGGAAATTGTCTTCTTGCACAAGTAAACGGATATTTATTTTGTGATGACTCAGTAATGATTCTTGAAATGTAAACTCTTTCACCAATGTTGCTACCCGTTATGATCTTTGCTTCCACAATTCTATCAGTTAATTGCATCACCACCAATCTTGTCCCATTACACAATCTAGAACTTTGATTTAAATTCCTAAGCAACATTACTAGCATACTGTAAAGGATTCTATTCTAAATCTAAAGGGATTTTCTTATTCCTTAGACTTTTAATGCCAGCTTGTGGTGTGGCAAACCAGGTAAGTCAAGTTGGTTCAAAAATTCTAATGGGTATAGTATATTAAGATTTTCAACATTTTCTGTTGAAGAAGACACATAATCAAAACTAAGATATGTGCGATTTTTGCCAGGCACCTTAGTTAACATAAAATCATTTATCTCAGTCATTGTGTTGTTTCGCGGTGTGACAATAGCTCTTTCTTTCAAATATGATACATCATGAAAATTTCTTTGAAAATCTGTGTACACCGCTAAAACCATGTTTTCAATGAGATTGTCTTCAAAGTCAATGGGAAAGTCTTTTGATATTTCAACCCAAGAATTTTCTTCATCAGTTGACAATATAGAATTAGCGACACTACTGTTTCCAATTTGTAATATCCAATTAGCAAAATCAGCCAACTCTTGTTTTTCCTTCTCATTCAAACCTGTTTTTGAAAGTCTCATGTTTTCTTTGAGAAAAAAAATGGTTAAATAAGGCCAAAGATAAGAACTTGTCCACGAAGCTTCAGCAATGTCAGCCTTAGTTCCATTTGGGACAACAGGCAAAATTTGTCTAAAATCACCTCCAAAGAGAATTGGCTTTCCTCCAAATGGCAAATCATCAAAACCTGGTTTTGAACCTTTGAGAACATCACGAAGAGATCTATCTAAAGTTTCAAAGCATTGTTTATGATTTATTGGTGCTTCATCCCAAGCAATAAGAGCTGCATCACTAATTAATTGTGCTAGATGAGTTTCTTTTTTTATTTCACAAAGCGAACAATCTGTAATGCTAATGGGGATTTAAATCGAGAGTGTGCAGTTCTTCCTCCAAGAAGCAAAAGGGAGGCAATTCCAGATGAAGCTACTGCCAAAACAATATGGTTTTCTGATCTAATCTTAGCTATGATAGCAGTCCACAAAAAAGTTTTACGAATCCCACCATGTCCATGAACAAAAAACATACCAGGCTTATTGTGATCAACTACCTTTATGACACTATCATAAACTATTTTTTGTTCTTTAATCAACTGTGCAACCAACTGTGAATGTTGCTCTTTCAATGATTCAGTGTAACTCCTCTCTTAAACTTCTATTCTTAAGTCTATCTAGCACATCTTTGCTTGGAATTGGGAGATGATGTTTAGATAGAGAACTATTTGAAGCAACAAACAACTTTTCTAACTCATACAAAAGAGAATTTTTAAGGTCATCCTCATACTTAGACATATCTTGCAAGCCAAAAGCATTAATCATCTTTATTGAGATGTCATCACACATCATTTTCCAATGTGCCTCAAACAAAGTTGCTGGATCAGCAACATCACAAAACAAAACTAATGTAACAAACAATTGTCACAATTGATGCGATGATGCGGTAACTATCGCTTCTAACATTGCATTGTTCCACTCCTTGTCATTTCCCAACAGGCCAAGTGAGTTGCATGCAGCCTGAAATGTGGGTTGAAGAACACCTCTAATTGTTCTTAAATCATTAAAACAAAAGCCACCATTTTGATATTTAAGCAATAATCTCAAGTAGTATAATTCATCGGCAGCAGGGTGAACATATGCAACTCTACCTAGACATCTACCATTTTTCCTTCGGGTACACTCTTTATTCTCACTATTCCAAACATATTTCGAAGGAAATTCCACATAAGACAACTGGCGTGCATTAGGATCTTGAGTATTCATTTCAAACCATTTTGTTAACATTGTGCTTTCAAGATTAGGTTGGTTAACAACATAGTTTAAATTATCATTGTCTTTAAAGACAACATTCTAGTCAAAAGGTAGATGCACACATAATCTTTGAACAGCTGGTTCTCTAAAATGAATATGAAATTGTAACAATCTCCAAACTACTTCATAAGGACATAAATATCTGCAATTTAGATAAGCTACAATCTCATCAAACTCTTGATCCTCAAAAACAGCTCTAGCCCTATCAACACCCTTGGTTATATACTTGAAAAGATATTTAATAAGCATTGATTGACAACACGATTCAATATTTATATGAGCTTGATACTTTAATAACAATTCACGATTATAAGGGACAACAAACGCATTATTAATCTTCACTCCATTTTTAACAACAAAACAATTCTCCATTTCCCTACGCTTGTATGTGACAAAACCATTAGATTCAAAAGTAGTTTCATTTGCAAAACGTTTTGGAAATTTCTTGAAACATTTTTTTTTCTTTCATGCAAGGAGAATTTTCATTTACAAGACCGCATGGACCATGAATCATATACTGTGCATCAACATCATACCCATCTTTGTCAAATTCTTCGCTAGGAATTTTAGCCGAAATGATTGAATCCACATCAGAAGGAGAATGACATTTATAATCTTTACTGACCCAAACCAAGATGTGACAATGCGGGATACCTCTTTTTTGGAATTCAACTGTGTAAATAACTGTTTGGAGAAAAATAAGACAAAAACATGAAAACAAAGCGCCTAATGTTTATGCTTATAAGAGAAAACAAACAAATAATCTTGAGAATTGGGAAAAGCGAATAACTAACCAGATTCAATTTTGCCAAAAGGTTTTCCTGATTTTATATACTTAACCATATGATCAAGTTTTGCTTTGAAAATTCTGGATATGATATCTGGTCTGTCTTCAGCCTTACAGCCAGGTCTTTCACGTAGATCTTCAATAATTTCTGGCCATTTAGCATTGCATGTAAAGGTGATGAATAAGTCAGGATTTCCCAAGTGACGACATATAGCCATGGCATCTTGATAATTATTTATCATATACCTAGCACTGCCAGTAAATGAAGTTGGCAAGATAATCCTCTTACCAATGTCTGAACCACTTGCATTTCCGTTTTTTAACGCCTCATGAATTCCTTTAAGACGCTCAGTTCTCAAAGAACTTTGATTTGTCCTAACGAAATCAAGTCTATCTTCTTTAAGTGTGGCATATGCATCTACTAAATATTGTTGAAACAATCTGCCACCCTTCAACAGGGTATTATCCTATCCCGGTCTATCTTGAATTTGGTAACCTAGAAATGCTCTCATAAACACCCTGCTAGTCTTGGGTTTTTCCCTTAAAAGCAGGATTCCAAGGAAGACCTTTGTTGTATCCATCTTCACCATATAGGAAAAGAATAGGATACTGAAGAGCCATATATTTTGGATGTAACTTTGTTATCCTTTGTAGACCAGTTGCCTTGTGTTCAATAATAATATCTCTTTCAGTGTGAAATTGACTGATATCCCCAACAATTAACCCTTCTATGCCGTTGCATGTTGGTTGATTATATTGCGCATCATGGTTGCTCGATGTGTCGTGCAAACGCAAGCGCAAAGAATTTGCTGACTGTTGATTAATTCTATCCCTTACAAGTCCAAATAATTGAACCAACTCATTACACTCATCTAACATTTTAATGAGCCCACTAACAATTTGTTTGTCAACTTTTGAAGATGCTTCAGAATGAGGAAAACAACTCATACGATTGTTGACTTCATTTTGAGTGTCATAAATGTAGAGCTGGGCAAATTTAGGGCTCTCGCCTTCAGGAGGCAACAAATAACCCATTAAATGATGCACTTGACCATTAATCTTAAAAACATAAGGACCTTGACCCTTGTTTATTGATGCATCAACTTTAGCCCCCATTGAAGTGAATGCCATCATTGAATTATACAATCTAACATTTTTTTTGAAATGTGAATTTTCTTGAGAATTTGTTGGATTTAGCAGATGGTCCAAATAAGCAGGGGCAGGCTTAACAGGTGGGAATTTTACTTTTTGACTCATACAGCATGCAGTGAATTGTGGCCTTCTAGTAGAAGAAGCGTTTGTTTTTAACCGCTCTGTAGACCAAAATAAAGCGCCACAATATTGACATTGAAAATTTCTAGGGCCAAAATCAATATAATCTGGAACACCACCTATGAAAAGAAAGAGCGACAAAATCATCCCTAAAGCAGTGAACAAAAGTTAAGTTTTTAAATAAGCAAAAAAAATGCAAAGATAATTATATTGTAAGAGCACATACATTTTTTTTTTTGATAAGCGACTTGACCAATCACATGTGAGCTTCTAACATAATGACCAGCTTCAGTATCAGTGACCAATATACCACGCAAAGTGGCATCATTCGCAAGAAAAACAGGGACAGTGATTTCATGTGAAGTGCTAGCAACAAACGAAGATGAGTTGAATCCATCGCCAACAGATGCATTTTGTTTCAAAACAGATGTATATGGTTGAACAGGATTGGTCGTATTGTCATGTAATAGTAAAGAGTTTGAAACATTGTTATATTCTTGATCGTAAGAAGTTGGGACATCTTGCAAAACCACATCATCTGGATAAACATCACCATTAAAGATGCGCAAATTGGCATGCTGAATTTCAGCAACCTTCCCAAGTATTCTGAGTTTCCTAGGCATAACACTACGCAAATAAAAAAAAAAAACATACGAATGACTACACCTTACTCGCTAATTAAATCGCCACACGTAAAGAAGGGTGCATTAAAAACACAAATACACCCAAAATATAATCGCATAAGTAAAATCCTACTTAAATTTGACTAACACCAGATATAAAGAGCGCTTAATTTTAGCGATCTTGTCAAAGATTGTCAAGGTTTTAGGCACAAAATAGCAAAATCGAAGAAAGCACATATAAACTATGTTAAGACCTTAAACATTTCTCCACATCTACCAAAATTAACCATTTTTTAATTCTCTAAAATGAAAACAAAGAAAGTAAATAAGATGAAAGTTTAATTTGAAAACCAATTCATATGTAAAAAGCAAGAAAGCTAACCAGTTTGCAGTTGCAAAAGGAATCACTGGCAAGTGTGAGCAATTAATTGCAAAAACCTGGATAATAGAAAGATAAACAACCAAAAAAAAACTACAAATGTAAGCACATACACGACACAATGAAATAAACAAAGAGAAAAACAACTCTAGGTAAACAATAGATCAACCAGCCAATAAACATAAACAATATAAAAATAAAGATAAATTAAAGTTGAAGCAAAACATGAATTATTTCTGAATAATGTGATTATCTTTGTTATATAGTAAATGGAATATGAACATCAATTATATCAAGTCGCAAAATTAGAGAAAATTTCATTAAGGTAGAAATGATTTTTTTTTTTTTTTTGGTTAAAGGCAGAAATGAATTAATGAGAACTAAAAAAGTGTGTAAATGAGTAGTAATAACACGTAATTATTAAACCGATAAGGGAGTTCATTGTTTACATCATTACACTTATATGTCAACCATCCTTACATATTCACAATTCAAAAAACCACTTCGTTGTTTACATCGTTATACTTATCAGCCAACAAAAAAGGTTCACACAACCTTTTTCAGAATTGAAAATCCAGCTGATCCCTACATATTTTTTAAAATCCAAAAAACCACTGCAGTGGAGATGAACCAAAGAAGGAGCATCCCAATCTTCTTCGGACGTTTAAACTTGCAAATCCAATTGTACAACCCTAAACAATTCTTTTGAACATTTTCTTTTGGTGGATTACTACAATTTGTAGGTGAATACATAGTGTGGACGACCAACTTGTTTCGATTGACACCTTTTCCATAAACACGTAAACCCATTCTTGTTTTTTCTATTTTTTGTGCTCTTGATGTGTTGGGTCCTGGAGCAGTCTCTGAATAAAACAATTTTGTCCCTCGAAGTTGTTCTTCTTTTCGAGCTTTTACCAATCTTCTTAAATCTTTTACCAAAACCCCTCCTAGAATTTGTTGTTCTTTTCGATCGATCTCTTTCACCATTTTTTTTTCTCTGAATCAAAAATTAAATATAATGTCAATAAATGTTTTTAAAAAAAAAATTTGGTAGACTTGAGCAACATTGTTTAAAATCTTAAAAATCTTAAACAACAAAGAAAATACATCAATTATTTTTTTATAAGTAAAGAATACATGAATACAAATATTTATAAATCTGTTTGAATAACCAATTTGTGTTTGTTATAAGACTACTTATACTCATTTTATTAAGTATGTAAGTTACGAAATTTTTTTTCTGAATTATTTGTAGTTCGTTGAGAGAGACTACTTATCAATAGCACTTATTCAAGCACTTAAAGGAGGATGAGACCCTTTCGTTCTCTCATTCATCCCTATGGTTGTCATGCATGTCAAATTAGGAATCAAGAATCAGGCCAGTTTTTTTATGTTTGATGATGGTCAAAGCCAGAGTTGAAGCAAGGCAAGGCATGCAAAGGCAAAAATATTTATGCAATGACATTTGTTTTTATTACCATGCATGTGAACTATTATGCACATGAGAAAAAATTCGATTAATAATAGACTCCATATATAGCATAATTAGAAAAAGAGTTTATGCACTATTGTCCTCCGCCTAGAAGAATCGAGAAATAAAGATTATCCATGGGCTTGGTTTTTGTTCTTTTATTTTTGTTTGTATGTTTATAAAACATTGTAAAAATTAGAAAATGCATCAAAATATACAACAAACACCATAAAAAAATTTGAGGATATAGCAAAATTTGAGGATATTGTTGCAGGGAGAATTCATATCAAGTTTAACTACATTATTTAATTCGAATGGAATCAAAAAGCAGCATAAATATGAAGGGTAAAAAACTAATAGGAAAAGTCACATTTCAGTAGCAATTAATAGCAGAAATCAGAGCTTAGTAGGAGGGACCAAAACAATTTTAGCAAAATGATACCAGAAACTATAATGACCAACATATTTACATACATGTGAAAATCTATTTATAACCACATTTACAATGACTAACATATTTACAATAAATTACATACATGTAGGTGTCCAAGTGTCCATATCATGGTCACTGGATTTTGGTGCGGAGTTTAGAGATCTCTATGGGTTTGAGTTAAAGAGTTCAATGTACACACTCTAAACTCCGATAAATTTCAGGGTTGTTATTTATCGGCGACTCATTATCAAGCTCAGCACGCACAAATTCTTCACATCAACAAAAGCACAAATTCTTGTACTTCCAAAAACATTCGCAACCCAATATAAAACTATACAAAAACTTTAATCATACATGAACCATAAACACAAAAATAATTTCGTGACCAAAAGCCTCTCAAAAACCGAGCTTGGAAGCATAAACACAAATAGCAACTAAATTGAATCGCTTCATAACAACTTCCGAAGAACAAAATCATCACCAAGATTCAGTTTAATTAGTTTTCTCACCATATCCAAACTATATGTAGTTTATATAATAAGACAATCATCTTCCAAGACCATTTCAAAACCAATATAACTTTAGTCCTAAAAAAAAATTCTTGTATTTCCAAAAGCATCCGCAAGTCTACCAATGTGTTATTTAGTTCCTCCCGTGAAACTAAAGAGGTGTTTTCTAGAGACCTAAAATACATGGAATCTCTACTTAGCAATAAAAACATCACATACGTAACAAAAGCCGAACAGAAATCCCACATTTCACAACCAAATCATCATATCAGTTCGAAACATTAAATTATAAGAACTAAAAATAATAATAATAGTACCTTAAACTAAATCCTCAGGTGAGAACCTCCTACTTTGCAACCTGAAACAAACCATAGAAATTAAAACCCACGAATCCACAATCAGATAAAACCAATTTTCCAAGAAAAACAAAACCAAGATTGGTATACAAAAGAGCATCAGATCTATAACCTGGAAAAAAAAAAAAAAAAAAAAAAAAAAAAGCCACACAAAAAAACCCAAAATAAAACAACCGACCTTAAGACAAAGAACAAACAGGCAGAAAGAGAGATGAATGTGCAAAATGAGAGAAAAGAAAACAAATAAGGGAAATTAATATCTCTGATGATTCCCCCAAAATCTGACCTAACACACTAAAAAAATCGAAAATAATCCACAACAAAAAGGCAGAAACGATGACAATCTAAGCTGATAGTAAAAAAAAAAAATTTTAAAAAAGTACTTATCTTTCGAAATCCAGGCATGCAGCAGTAGATCCGGACGACCCGTATGGTTTTCTCTGACCATCCCCACTCTCCCACTTCTGAAATCCATCACCCATACCTCTCCCCTTCGCTTTCTTTCCATCGCCATCTCTCTCTCTCTCTCTCTCTCTCTCTCTCTCTCTCTCTGTCAAAGTCTCCATCCCCCCAAAACCCTCATTGAAGGATAGCAAATGAAACTGTACAACCAACCCCCGAATTCAGTCAAAACCGAGAAGACAAAACCCACTTTCCCACTTTTGAAATCCATCACCCATACCTCTCCCCTGCGCTCTCTTCCCATCGGCATCTCTCTCTCTCTCTCTCTCTCTCTGTTTCTTCCGCTCTCTGTCAGAGTTTCCATCCCCCGAAACCCTCATTGAAGGACAGCAAATGAAACTCTACACGCCAACCCCTGAATTCACTCAAAACCGAGAGGACAAAATTGCCCTTCCAACCTAGTCCACATATAATGGGTTTCTTGCAAATAAGGTGAAATGAAGGGATAATCTGTCCTAAACCCTCCGGACAAAATTACCCTTCTGAGTTCAAATAAATACCCTTCAAACCCAGCCCAAATCTCATGGTTTTATTGTAAATAAGATGAAATCAAGAGGCAAACAATTGACTGTAGCGGAATGAACAGTCAATTGCTCCTCAATTTTAGAATAGATAATGGGTTCTCTCAGGTGCAAACATTAGGTTCCCTCTGTGGGCATACCGAGCTACCAAGCAACCAGCAGCTTGACGCATGTGTAGCTTTACATGTGTCGCGATCAAATTATTTAATATGAAGATCATATATATAAAAAGAGATAATAATGAATTTTGGAATTAATGTATGCGTATTATGCCTGCAAGGTTCAAGGGAAAAAGAATCTATTTCTTTGATTATGTTTAAGGAATAAACACAAATTTAAAGTTGCATAATTCTAAGGTGATAGTGCTCAATATCATGTTCGCGATGAGCTGAATGTATATATATATATATATATATATATATATATATATATCTCTATATCTTTATATAGGTAGATTTCTTTTTCCTTCGTGGACCAAGTGGCAAGTTGTGAATTAAATTATCAACCTAAGTTTTTTTTCGATAAAAATAAAAAGTTCCAAAGAAACCGATTTTGCAAATATGCGGCCAAATTATTGAAAGTATAGTTTTTAACAGCTGCTTGAGGTATAACTAACGCACATGAACGAGAAGTCCACTATCTTATAGTGAAGTGAAGGAAGCTATGTATAATGCACAATGTTAATCCAAAAGGGTGACCCCAACAGCTGCTTAGTCCCTTGCTTTTAAACTAAAATATTAAGGGTGGGGAGACAATTAGGAGGGAGATGCTCAAGATTATTTATATTATTTAGATTTTTTTTCTGATGTGGAACTAGTCACGTTTGCTCCTTTTTTGTTCCTCTCTAATCTTAACACACACAAAAAACC